ATATATATATATATATATATATATATATTCTGTTCTCCTGCAAAAGATAAGCCACTTGCATGCAAACTCAGGGATCGGTTTAGCTTTTAGTCGGTCGACAGCAAATAGCATAGTTACCGATCTAAAACTGCAGAGAAAAGAGAATATGGCATCAGTCTTACTCACACCATAGTTACCATTTCCAAAAATAAAACGGGTAAAGTTTGACTGAATTGGTGATTCTCTAAAATGTTTACTAGGCTAGCCAAAATTACGAGTATTTCGGATCTGTACTAAACGGACATTCTAAAAAATCAAAATAAATTCGCAAGGGCGAATGGTGGAATCTCCAGTAATAAAGTAATTTTTTGACTGCACTTTAGGATAGACAAGTGAACAGCATAAATCTGCAGAATTCTGTATATGTATGCATATGAGTGAGCGAATCACAACGTGCTTTACAGTTCTGCATACTTGACTAAAGATACCAACCATTCATACATAGTTATCGATCCCTAGAATAAGAAGAGCATGCATATAAATGCAAAAATAAGACAAAGTTAAGCTCATTGCGAGCTAGAATGATACTATCACATTCAGGAGATTGCAGTCTCTTGAGTACTTCTTGTGTGATAGAATATGATTTACCATTCCCTAAAGCCGAGTGCAGATTGAGGCTTGACGATCATCAACTTGACACTCTATAAAAATGTATTAAAAATGGAATAAACGTTGCAGTTTTAGGGCATACATTCTTTTGACATTAGTTTTGATACAACTTTCAGTTCCTCTAAATAGGCTAGTGGAAAAGATTCATGGATTGGACGCATCAGAAACCAAACAATGCACAATATACTTGGGTGAGTATGCTGTTGGGCTATTGTGTAAGGTATGGCTTCTTGATCTGAGGGTGCCTGTCGCATGACAGACGAAAGCTTAGAACGAGTGTATCTGGGCTGAGCCGAGGACTTTTTTGCACAACCCAATAGTCTTTGCTCTTCTAATGCAATCCTTCTTTGGTTTCCGGTGAAGCCACTTCTAGAAATCGATGGTATAACCACCCTAATTCACTGAAGGAATCTTCGAAATCCAGCTTTTCTTCATATATACGAAGTATATGGTTTAGTAACACTCTCTTGACTTCATGTAATGATCAAGGCCATACGAAATATGGGAGTACTTCATAGGTGGTGGATGGACTTGAACGGATGTTCTACGCCAGCGGATGCTTCTTAATAAAAAAGTTGGGCTGATTTCTGCAAATTTTCCCAACTCGACAAATCATGTCTCCGCACAGAATGGAACTATTTTGGAGAATCTGTGGCGAGAACTGCAACACTCATAAAACCCATCGGCTGCATACACACAACGGCCCAGATATGCCCACCAATCCTAAAGCTCTATGTATGCCTCCCTTGACTGTCCTCACCCTAAACACATCCAGTTTGGTGGAGTTAGGTGTCATTGTACTGTGACCACCATCACATGCGACCCACTCGACAATAAGATAAAGGGTTACCACCCTCTCGTGCAGCAACCTGGCTTGAGAATACAGAAAATTGGTCAAATCTTTGGCGGAAGCAGTTATTTTCGCCAAGAAGATTCTCATCATGGGAAAACTATACCATACAAAACCTCTGAGGATGCTTTCTTTCTCACCAATGTTCCACTTACTAAGAAATCCGCAAGTACATAAGAAACTGGATAAATAGACAGACATTTTCATTTAATCTAGCATTAGCAACAATACTACTGCTTACACGCTTCATGATGGAGGGAGGGTGGTTTAAAAACTAAATGTAGGAGTAAATCTACTGAGTTATAAAGACCAAATTTTCAGCTTCCGGTGCAATAAATTACTGCACCAAAGAGAAAGCTGAGCAGGAATAGGGTAATAATGAGTATATGACTGTTTTGAGTTCAAAGTTCCTTAGCTAATAGGGATTTATAATCTTCCAACCAAGATACGCAGAGAGTATTTCGTCTTAACCACACTGATTTATCCCTTTTTCACCCAGCCTTGTCCACACACCAGCTAATGTGACATGCTTTTCTCTCTTCCGATGGGATTTTGTTTCAGAAGAATTCTTAATTCTTGAATAAAAACTTTAGTTGCCTAGGTTGCGTAAGGTGAACTAAGGATTGACAGTAGACATTACTTGCAATAAAATGATTTGAAACAGGGTCGTGAGCATTATGCTGACACGTTAACATTACTCTACATAGTAATGAATACGCTTTAGGGAGTGTCTGCCAGGATAATTGAGAATTTAAGGGCAAGTGTGACCTCTAATACATCACAATGATAGAGGGATTGTTGATGACTTAGGCACGTATTTTCCGTTACAATCAATGGTGTTGCTTATAGTTTCTGTAAGTAGACTTAAAGGCCATTTGTAACTTTTGAATAAAAACTTAGTAAACCTAGTTTAATTGAAGATATAAAGACCAAGGTGTTGTGGACTCTGGTATGGTCGCAGTCCCCTTTCGATTTATACAAGTGAGTTGAACTCGTTCTATCAACTTGGTCTTGTCGTCAGGGCGACTTAGTAGAACGTTACTTGTCCGAAGTCGTCTGCCAAGTTGTCATGTTTCCCAGCATCAGACAGTGGACTTGGTACATTCTCAAACGTTTGA